ACTAAAGAGCCTCTGTAAAGTATGTGGTATCTGTCAAACATATGCTCCTGCCACCAGTCTGAACCCCCAATCAATCTTATTCTTGTTTTTCCTGTACCATCCTGAGCCTGGCACCTATCTCGGGTTGGAGCTGCCTACATCATCATCAGGGTTCACTCAGTGAACACATACGGGGGTTCCTTGTTATAGTTTACATCTCAGCTCTAACTTACACCTTTGATCTGTGTTGCTAGGTGCCCAGTTCCCTTCCCTGTAGCACCAGAGGGCCTAGTAGCAAATGGGGAGAAGAGAACAAAGGAATACCCAAGGATGAGATAAGATTGATGGGGAGGCATCTATCTTTTGCAGGACTCTGAGGAATGTAAAAACCTAAATCAGGAGGCCGGAATTGGGGACCGAGCTGATGTTTCTAAAAGTACAGTTGCCAGGAGCCAACGTTGACTCGAAGGAAATTAAAAGAAAAACCACAGAATCATATTGTTCATTCTTTCCATTGTGTTGATAGAAAACCAGAGCAAATGCTAAGAGTGACATTTGCATCAATTTATGTCACTTGTGGAATTACAGTTCAAAAATAAAAGATTTGTCCATATTGTCCTGTCCCATTTTATATATACAGATGAAAATCCTAGCCCTTAGATTAATAAAATAACCATTACACCATAAATACAGCCTAAAGAAATAACACATACTGCTTTTCTATAGAGCAGAATAATATTTGAAACATGCAAAACGTGAAATAAGAAACTCAAGGGTTAGGGGTTTTATTAATTTCTAGGTAAATTCTCCGTATAGAATGGCATATTCAATATAACTGATCAAACAGTAATATTTTCCAAACTGCTTTTCTTGAAATTAATTGTAATATCATTTAATGGTTAGATGGGCTTTTGGGCCATCATATAAAGTATGAATCAATTATTCTCACACGTGGCTCTGGCCCAGTGGTGGGTTTCAAATTTTTTTACTACTGGTTCCGTGGGCGTGGTTTGATGGGTGTGGCAGGGGAAGGATACTGTAAAATCTCCATTCCCACCCCACTCCGGGGGAAGGATACTGTAAAATCTCCATTCCCTCCCCAATCCAGGGGAAGGTTATTGCAAAATCCCCATTTCCTCCTGATCAGCTGGGACTTGGGAGGCAGAGAATAGATGGGGGCAGGGCCAGTCAGAATTTTTACTACCGGTTCTCCAAACTACTCAAAATTTCCACTACCGGTTCTCCAGAACTGGTCAGAACCTGCTGAAACCCACTTCTGCTCTGGCCTGTGTATTTCTGAAATATGCAGAGTTCTAAAACATCCAAGTTGCTAAGAAGAGAAAGCATTCAGATTGTTATATCACTTTATTGGATAATTTACTTTTGTCCCTTGGTTTTACCATAAGCTGTTTTAATGGAACAGGCTACAATGCATAGGTGAATACAGTATTTTTATGATGTTGGTTGAATGCCAAATACTAAGCATATCTGACAGGAAGTAGCCAACAAAACATTCAGGGGTATGTTTTATATTTTTGGCCACAGGATGTTTACTGTTGTGAGGCACTAAAATCATTTTTAAAAAAGGAACAGAAACAATGTAAATGCCTCCATTTCTTCAGTACAGGTGGTCCTCGAGTTACAATGGTTCATTTAGTGACTGTTCGAAGTTACAACGGTCCTGAAAAAAGTGACTTATGACCATTTTTCACACTTAGGACTGTTAAAACATCCTATGGTCATGTGATTTATGTTTAGATGCTTGACAACTGGTTCATATTTATGACGAATGCAGCAGTGGTGGGTTTCAAAAATTTTTGTTACCGGTTCTGTGGGTGTGGCTTGGTGGGCGTGGCTTGGTGGGCGTGGCAGGGGAAGGATACTGTAAAATCTCCATTCCCTCCCCACTCCAGGGGAAGGATACTGCAAAATCCCCATTTCCTCCTGATTAGCTGGGACTTGGGAGGCAGATGGGGGTGGGGCCAGTCAGAATTTTTACTACCGGTTCTCTGAACTACTCAAAATTTCCACTACCGGTTCTCCAGAACTGGTCAGAACCTGCTGAAACCCACCTCTGGAATGCAGTATCCTGCGGTCATGTGATCACCTTTTGTGACCTTCTGGCAAGCAAAGTCAATGGGGAAGCCAGATTCGCTGAACAACAGTGTTACTAACTTGACAACTGCAGTGATTCACTTAACACATGTGACAAAAAGTCGCAAAATGGGGCAGAACTCACTTCACAAAAGTGTCACTTAACAACCTAAATTTTGGGCAAAATTGTTGTCCTAAGTCAAGGACTACCTGTAGTTAGGATTTTATTAACCAGATAAAGGCCCTGAGCAAAGTCAGATTATGTTATCATTAGACTTTTGGACAGTCAAGGTTACAGAGTCAAATTAGTAGAGAGGAGAAAATGGCAGATCAGGTCAGAATGCGGAGAGTTGCAAGCCGAGCACTGGAGAGTCAGAAGGCGCGCTCCCATGTTGCCCCAACATGCGTTTCTAACGTGCGCTCCTCTGTCCCGAAGTGGGATTTAGCTGGGGGGGTAGGGGATAGGGAGCAGGGAGCAGGGGGAAGGGTAGGGGGGCTCCTAGGAGGAGAAGCCCGGCTGGCTTTCCTTTTGGCGTGGGGCGGGGGAGGGGAAGACCCAATAAAAATCCAATTTCCCCCAATAAATGGGGAAAATAAAAGCCGGGCAGTCCAGAGTCCAAAAAGAGGGACTGGGTCTATTCATTGGAGGATTGGAAAGGAAATCAGTTGAAACTTGGGTGGGAGGCTATTCAGAGCGGGATCTGCCTGGGTCTCTTCTTCCCTCCCCCTTAGATTCCCCACTCCCTAGCTTCATTTTAAGGGGAGGGGAAAGCAAGGTGGGACAATAGTAGCTAAAAGGCTGTGAGGGGAAGTTAGGGTTAGGGTTAGGGTTAGATGCCATTCCTTTCCCAAGGACCCAGGGAAAGTGGAATAAAAATAGGTGTGTGTGTGTGTGTGTGTGTGTGTGTGTGTGTGTAAATAACAGCCCGGGATAGCTTCTGAGAGCTATTTTTGCTGACAGCTCCTAACCTACACAGCATTCTTTAATAAATACTAACAATAACAAACCATAATATACAGGATTAAAGGAAGGAAGGTGAAATCAGAGGAGGGGGGAAGGAAGGAAGGAAGGAAGGAAGGAAGGAAGGAAGGAAGGAAGGAAGGAAGGAAGGAAGGAATAAGGATGTGATGGCCCTCCAGAGGTTACTGCACTACACTCCCATCGTTCCTGAGTTGTGCTGTTAAAGAAATCCAGTGCCACCAGGGAGAAGTCAAGTTGTGAAAGAGTGATGCAAATTCCTCACAAAACCTTATCATTCAGGTTAAATGGCCATGTTGGAACTTTGTGATAAATAAGTGGGTTTTGGGTTGCAGTTTGGGCACTCGGTTCCTGAAAGGTTTGCCATCACTGCCCTAGAGCTAGGGTGGGGCTTAGCTAGCAGCCATGGCTCTTCCATCCTGAGGAGCGCCGCATAGCTTCCTGCTGCTCTCCTCTTCTCTATCTTCTGCGAATCCGTGTGTCAGGCACCAGACCCAGCTGTTCTTCTTCTTCCTCATCAGCCACCTCTGGACCTAGGAGCTGTTGCCTCTCCATCTGGGGGCTAATGGACAGCCCAGCCTCTGCCTTTGTCTCTCTCTCTCTCTGCCAGCTCCATTCCTTCTTTCCCCTCGGAGGTCCCAGGTTGCCTTGATGCTGATCTTGACTCCCCACGCTTCCTCCTCCTCTGATTCAGCTGCTGGAGGGGCCGGCAGCCAACAAGCCACAACGAAATGAAGCTGATGTGTATTTTGCACATGTGGGTAGACCTCAACTTACAATTGGTCATCTTAGTCACCTAAATTGCCTTGATGCTGATCCTGACTCCCACACCTCGTCCTCATCTGATTCGGCTGGTGGAGGGTCCAGAAGCCGACACGCCACAACAAGGTGCTTTTTCAAAAGGCAACTGGACTTTTTTTCCCCAGTAGCCTTTTGAAAAACACACCTTTGGGACAACCACGACCTGGATGACTGAGGATTTCTGTAGACATTTCTGTCCTAAGAAACTCTAGCTCTCATAGTAACTCACACACCTGCCATCTTTCTTTAAGGATAGGATTGGCGTGATTTCATTCTTGCAGATTGCACTGTTTGCACATACTGTGTTCACACCTGTTTTTGGACGATACCTTGTGAAGCATCCATATACCACTTCAGTGTTGTGATGTTGATAAATGGAGGTCTAGAAAACATCATCCTGAGAAGAATTTCAAGTAAAAGGGCTTTAATTTTACGACAGGATATGACAGCCTGAGAGAAATGAAACTCATTCATAGTGGTGGAAAAGGGATAGAGACTACCAGCTGTCAGGTGTAACCATCCGGAACCACTAATGAATAACGAAAGTCAGTAACTTTATCGTTTATCTCCTATGTTACAAGAATCTCACTAGACAGCTTGTGTTCCCGTGGGAATAGCCGGAGAAGGCTTCGCAGATCTTGGGGGAGGTCAAGCTTATGTGTTTGTGACTGCTCAAGGACTCCAAGCTAGGCCCTTACTTGATTCCTCCCTGCAGCCTGCCTGGCGGATTCCCACACCAGCATTAGGAAAGGTTGTACCATTGGCTAGGAGAGTAAGAACAACATAGTTTACTAGCTAAACCAGGGGTGTCAAACCCGATTTCATTGAGGGCCGCATCAGGGTTGTGTTTGACCTCGGGGTGCCAGGGTGGGGCGTGGCCAGGGTGGGTGTGGCAAACGCAACATCACTCATGTTGGGCCGCCTGTGGGGGCCCAAGCGCTCTGGATTCCAAGCTAGGCCCTCACTTGATTCCTCCCTGCAGCCTGTCTGGCAGTTTCCCACTCCAGCATTAGGAAAAGTTGTACCATTAGCTACAGTGGGAGAGTAAGAACAATATAGTTTACTAGCTAAACAATCAGATAAATCACCAGGAACCGTAAAACAGGAAAGACAGAATGGTAGATCCACCAATAAATCTTCCAAAGTCTAGGATGGTTTTTTTATTATTATTATTCTGAATTGTTAAGTAGCAGCAGCAACCAAAATGTTTTCTTTTCCATTTTAAAAGAAATAGGAAGAACAAGCAAAGACCGGACAAATAAGAGCAGGTTTTTGTGTGACTGGATTTGGAGCTCCGTATTACTACTGAAATTTAATTTCAGGTTTGCTTAGAATTATAAAGCAAGGGTCCCTCTAACGGTTCCTACAAGCTATTTTAAGGCATCTTACTTCTCAGAATGCTAATGAAAAAAAGGGACAAATGTAAAGGCACTTAGGATGAAGTCTTCTAGAATATCCCCATCGCTTTTCTTCTGTTGATATCTCTCTGGATTTGGCAGAGGGAACAAACGGGGCAACAACACACAATGCAGTTATCTCCACAGATGGAGCCCTGTTGAAAGGAAAAGAAGCCAAATGAATCCATAACCTTTTCAATGAAATCATGATGTAGAGATATAAAATCATGAAAAACTAACTCTACGTTGGATGGCAAAATACAGGCAGTCCTTGACTTACAACAGTTTGTTTAGTGACCGTTCAGAGTTACAATGGCACTGAAAAATGCGACTTATGATCGTTTTTCACAATTACGACCTTTGCAGTATCCCCATGATTCATGTGATCAAAATTCAAACGCTTAGCAACTGGTTCATATATATGATGGTTACAGTGTCCCAGGATCTTGTGATCAGCTGTTGTGACCTTCTGACAAGCAAAGTCAATTGGGAAGCCAGATTCACTTAAAACCCATATTACTAACTTAATAACTGCAGTGATTCACTTAACAACCGTGGCAAGAAAGGTTGTGAAATTGGACAAAACTCACTTAACATACAGCATCTCACTTAACAACAGAAATCCATTACATTATGTAAACCTATTTTTAAAAAATCCACTTCACCCATCGCCAGTGGCAGCAACAACACAATCAAATTCATCACATGATTGGCTCCATTTCTATTTGTGGTCCTCAGGCCCACTGACAAAACCGTGTTTTTAGCGCCTTTCAGAAAAGCAGCAGGGGCCCTGAGGGGCCACCACCAAGAAGGTCTTTTTTCATGGTGTCAAAGATGACAATCCCTAATCGATGGGACTTTTAACAAATTCTGCCATCCCATCCTTATGTTTGGCATGGGACAAGTGTCATTTTTATTTTCATTCCTATAATTCTGAAAGATTATGGTTTGCTGCAGATAACAAATGAAAGAGTTATCTGTTCACTTCTCAGGTTAGTTTTTCCCCAAAAAAATTCATGGATTGTGCATGCACTGCCTTTCTGAGCAGGTCTAGGACAGCTCACCACATCCAACTCTCCACGGCCAATTAACTGTGGCCAACTCACTGTAGGAGAACTCACCATAGGACAACTTGCCATGTGACAAGAATTACACTAATACTGGATAAATGATGGAATTGAATCACTAGAGAAAGGATGCCAAGGAGAGACAAAATGAAATGTGAATGACAAAAATTAAAATTATTTTTAACATATTTTACATAATTAGATTGAGTTGTTGAATTTTCCATTGGCGAGTTGTCCCATGGTGAGTGGGCCATGACAAGTTATCTCGCAGCAAATTGGTTGCCCCACTCCGTTTCTGGTATTTCTTCCAATTTAACAAGTAATGTACTTAAGATTCTAGATTGGGGGTTTTTTTGGTTTTAACTAGGGTTTATAAACCTGAAGTTTGTCTAGTTTTAGGCAAGATAATCTACTTACAGGGATTTCATATTTTGTCCTGTAGACAGCTCGCATGGCCACACTTGTGCCACAGCAACAACATTCATTCATATCTGCAGCAACTTGGCATGCCATACAAGGGAAGCAGAACATTCCACAGAGACCTAAAGAAAGGAAGAAAAAAGCCCTTGTAGAAAGATTTTGGCAATGCGTTGAATGACACAAGATTTATAGCCCAGAAAGTACAAATTATACAGTTACTGCAACATCAAAACTGCAAATGAAAATGCTAGTTAAAAGATCACCTAGCAGAGGGGAAGGCTGAAAAAACTAATGTACACACCACATTAAATTAAAAGTACACTCTATTGCGTTTTTCTCTATACTGATGTACCCAACTATTATGAAATAGAATTAAGGAAATTACTATCGGACAGAGACTGGCTGAGCCAGGGAGTGGAATCAAACAGGGAACTAATCTGGAATCCGTACATGGGCATAAGAGAGTGAAGTCTGGTCTTCCTTGAATGCTGTTTAACCTTATCTAGTCTGACCCAGGTGCAAACTGCCAGTCTGAGAAGATTTCTATATTATAGGCATGAGTAATAAAATAGTTAATTGAATTCTTCGCACATGGATTGATTGTGTCTGACAATTACCAACAGAAGAGAATACTTATAACTCACATGTGAGTTGTTTTATCCTCAATGTTCTCTGAATTTGGTTGTTTTGTTGCAGATGGTTCTTTATCCAAGTAAGTAAGATCTTTAGTACTAGTAGTGATGCTCTCCTAGTACTGATGATATTCCCTATCTGGGTAATGCAACATGTTCAAGAAAACAACCAAGCTCTGAAAGCAGCAAGGACCCCTCATTATGAAAATTAAAATTCAAAACATTAGGAGGATACCAGATTGTTTTCTTAAACATATTTTTTACCATAATTCTTCAGCTGTGTAGCATCAGGCACAAGAAACCAGGTGCCAGGAGAGAGTTCAAAAGTACTATGGGTTTACCTCATGCTGTATACAAGAATCTGATCTACTAATGGTCAAGGCAGATTGGTGGCTAAATAAGAGTCAACAGAATTCACTGGGGGCTAGATTTAAATCTCTTGTGGGAGCATAGCAACTCCAAACTGATGGTGCGTTTGATCCCACTTTCGGGCTCAGTCTCGTCATCTCCGACATGTATTTAAAGTTCCATAACACAACTTTTAATAGTATAGAAGCCATGTCTCCTTTTATATCTTGCTATCATAATTCCAATCCAATAGGCTGTTCAATAATTAAACATCTATTGTTCAAATTGTAAAGAATAATTTATTTCTGCAACTTATCCAGTCTGGAAGGATATTCTGTACCATCTATTCCATACTATAAAATATTTTGAGTCTTCCTTGTCTTTTAATTCTAGAGTTAATTTATCCATTTCTGCGCATGTGTAGATTTTTTGAATTACTTCCTGATCTGTTGGCATACGATCTGTTTTCCACAGTTGTGCTATAGCCAGTCTGGCTGCCGTAATTATGTGTAGTGTCAAATATTTTATGTCTTTTTTAATATTCTTTTTTATCATGCCTAATAAGAAAACTTCTGGTTCTAATTCAATTTCTTGATCTATTATTTCTACTATCCATGTTTTTATTTTTTCCCAATATTTCTTTTATTTCTGGGCAAAGCCACCAAACATGGAAAAAAGTACCCTGAGCTTTTTTACATTTCCAACAAACAGGATTTACATTCGGGTACATTTTCGCTAGTCTCGAGGGAGCTAGGTACCATCTATACCCACATCTTATAATGGTTCTCCTTGTATGCTGCCGATTTTGTCATACTATTCCCAAGTTCCTAAGAAGGCTTTGAGAACCCCACTGTCAGTTATCAGCCTGGTCACTTACAGACTCCACAGTCATTAAAGCAGTCACATATGCCTGTTTGCCAATAGTTTCTGCTGGGCTGGACCGTTACCAACACTGGTGGTTGAGTGACAACCATTGGCTGAGCCTCCATGGTGGGCAATATTCTAAGAAAAAGAAAAAAAAAGAGCCAAAAAGAGAAGAGATTAATGAACAGGCTTTGTAGAAGATGATCTCAGTCCCAACTCCACAGTGTGGGATGTGGTTGCTAGATTCGATTCTGGACGAAGTCTTTCTGATACACAAATTGGTACTGTGAGAATCTTAAACTCTAAATCTAGGACAGAGCCATACTGAATGTCCAATTGTCCTCTGTTGTTTTGGAAGATTGGTTCCCTCTGCACTCAGCCAATTGCTGCTTCCTCTCTTCGTTCTAGTCCCTGTAACTTGTGACCTTGAAACTGGGTGGCTGTCATGCCCCCATCCGAGCTTCAATCTGCAGGTGAAGACAAGCTGGAACCTGAGCCGACAGAGATTGAGGGGGCAGTTTCGTTGGCTGCTGAGGAAAAAGGGGAAGGGCAGGGTCAATAAAGCCAGGGCCTTTCAGGATTAGGGCGGCTTGTGTACAGGGAGGAACAGGGGCAGGATGAACATGAGAGACAGAGCTCAGGTGAGGAGCAGAGACCACCCCCTCCTGATCTGAGAGCGCGGAGAGTGGAGAGAAGGTGAAAACAGCGCCGACTGAGCAGGTTACTCAAGAGAAGAGTGCCCCGCCCATCTTCACAGGGCACACCTGGTGAGTGAGATTTGGGGAGACGCTGTGGGGAGGGGCATTTGTTGGGAACAAACGCTGGGTTCCGGAAGTGTTGAGTGCCGACATTTGAATTTCCTAAGAGTCCTTGTATTCTTTCTGGCTTTCTGGACTAATTATCTGGATCTTTTGCTTCCTGAACTCCTTGATTTGCCTGCTAGATTTATTGCTGTGTAGCCTTAGTGTACACAGCGCTGGGCTGGATTATTTGCAGCCAGAGGCTACTTTTTTAAAAAAGTTTTTTATTTTTAAGTTTAAACAAACAATTACATTTATATGCCGCCTTTCTCCGGAGACTCAGGGCGGCTAAATCATCTGCAAATGCTTGCAATTTATATTCTTTTTTAATTTTCATTCCTTTAATTTCTTCCTTTCGTTTTATATTTCTATTTAATACCTCTGGTATCAACATAAATAATAATGGGGATAAGGGACATCCCTGCCTTGTTCCTTTCATTATATTAACCTTCTCTGTCATGTCTCCATTTATCATCACCTTTGCTGATTGCTTATTATAAATTGTTTTTATCATATTTATAAATCTCCCCCCAAAATCCATAATCTGTAATTGCTTTTTCATAAATTGCCAATTTACATTATCAAACACCTTCTGGGCATCAAGAAACATCATTGCCATTTGTTTTTCTGAATGTACTTCATAATATTCCAAAGTGTTCAGAATTGTCCTCATATTATCTCTAATCTGTCTCTTAGGTAAGAAACCATTTTGTGTTTTTTTTAAAAAAAAAATTTAAAATTAATTTTACAACAACACAACACAACACAACATACAGGAACACAAACACAGAATATGTGTTTCTTTTTACGTATCAGTTTTGTTCCTCTTACTTTCTACATTTCCCATTTCCCATGGTAAGAAACCATTTTGATCTGTATGTATAAATTCATTTAACAATCTTTTTATTCTCTTCGCCATTATTGATGCAAATATCTTGTAATCCGCATTCAACAAAGAAATCGGTCTGTAGTTTTTAACTTGTTGCAAATCTGTGTCTTCTTTGGGTATAAGAGTAATATATGCCTCCATCCATGAATTTGGTATCTTTCTTTTACTAAAAGTTCATTAAATACCTCCAAGTTCATTAAATACATGGTTTCTATTCTAGACCATGACATGTGCCTATTTGAGTAAAAAGTATATTGCTTTTCCTTCGAGTCTCTTTTTCTCCAGGCATCTTGTATGCTTAGTTCCTCTACCATTGTAAAGAAAGTTTTTGGAAGCATTTTCCTAGGCTTCTTGTTTATCTTTGTCATTTTGTAATCCAAATCAACATCTATTACTGCATTAAAGTCACCCATTATACAAATACTTTCATTTTCTTGTTCTATTATTTTCCTGTGCAATTTTCCATAAAATTCTTCTTGATTATTATTTGGTGCATATATCGCTACCAAAAGTATTTATTTATAGTTCATTGTTACTTCCACCATAAGGATCCTCCCTTCTTCATCAACAAATATTTGCTTGGGTTCTAATGTTGTTTTTTTAATATATAACACTTTTGTAGACAGAGACAAAGAGAAGGGAAGAATTTGGGAGGCAAGTGAAAAAACGAATCAGAATTGAAATACTAAAGCAAGCAAGAGATGATGGATAGAAAGGGAATGCTGTTTAATATAAGATTAGCTTTACTGAGTGCTAGAATAGAAATAGAAACAAGATCAAGGAGGTATTTTATTATACATATTTTTATATAATATACTAAAAGTAATAGCGAGATGTAAATATTAGATGTTAAAAGATGGTATCACTATGTACGTTTAAATAATATTGTGACTGTTTTTAGAATGGTGCACAAAAACACTGAACAACTGAACAATGAAGGAACACAATACCACAATTACATAAGTATGATTAATGTAACAAATTTTATTACTATTACTATTATTATTGGTATTTAAATGGATGATACCAAGATCCCACACTGTTCATATAATGATATTGATGTATATCCCAAAATAAATAATATTTTTTTAAAAAGGAAGAAAGAAAAATGACCATCTTTATATTTGTGTTACTTTAGGAATCCATTCTTATTTCTCCCCAAATTTAAAAAAAACGAGGACTCACATTCTGCAATGTAATACAGAATGGCACAAGACGGTCTTTCAACAACCAGATTAGATCCAGGGAGATAAAAAAACTTGGAAAATTTTATTAGTTTAGAATAAATACAAAAGCAAAGGCAGAAAGATTTCAAAGAAAGCAAGATTTCAAACCTTTTTCTTCTTCTTCTTCTTCTTTTCTTCCTCTTTTGGCTTCTCTTTGCCGAGCTGCAGTAAACTGCCCGCTGGCTGCCTCCTGTTGTGTTTTAAAACTGAAAGGGAATTACCCTTTTAACCAAATTGCTCGATGTTTTTTTCAAATGAGGAAGTAAGTTTTGTTTCAGCCAGGTGGATTTAAAAAAAAAATAACTCAAGAAAAAAAAACCCAAAAGAGATGGTAGGAGAAGAAATGAAACTTAGTTTAGAAGAAATAAATAATAAATAAATAAATAATAAAATAATAAATAAATAAATGATTGGGAATGCTCAGACATTATCTTTAAATTGATCGTTCCTTGCTCCATCTTTAGAAACCATTCTGATATTTCTGCCTTTTTTCCGTTTCAGATTCTAGGAGTCAAATAGCAGATCCCTCATCGTTTCTGACCCTTCCAACACCTCTGATTGCAGTTGTGAATCAAATTGCACCATGACCAAATGAAGGTAGAATTAATGTGTGAAAAGGAAAAGGATGCTTGGGCATGTAAGACAAGCAATAATAGCTAAATGTTGTTTCTGCGGGAATCATAGGTCTGAAGGGACCAGTACTAAGAAATGTAATAGGACTTAGATTTATAAGAAAGGTAGGATTTAAGCAAAATTGCACATATTGCTAATAGTAAAACCAGTTTAAGGGATTGTAAAGGTAGTGTGGAAAGTACACCCCAAAAGACAGTGTCAGGAACCACAAAAGCAGTGCCAAAAGACTTAAGTCAGCCCTACCCCTTTAAGAAAACCAAGAAGAACCAGCTGAATGAAAACTCAGAGCAGCCTGTTAAAAGCTGTTACAAAACTAACAGAGTTAACAGCAAAAACACTTAAATAGAGCCCTTAAGATAAAGGGAATCAGGCTAAAAATATTCCTTAAGGTAAACTGAAACTCCCTTTTTCCTGCCTCCTGACAGGATTAACCCCCAGGATAGAAAAGACGAAAGTACTGGGGCAGGATTAATCCATTAAGGCAAGAAGACAGAACTCAGGGCAATCACTTTAACTAGAGGCACACAAATAACCCCATCAAACTGTAAGAGCTTCCAAGGAAAATCAAGTATAAGAAGACATGGATTTGCCTCCCCCAATCTACTTGCAAACCAGGAACACCCCCCCCCCAGCTGTGTCACTTTTTGCTTCCTGCCTTCCTACATTAAAAGAATTCCTCATTCTGGCAGCTGGCTTCTGCATCCATTTCTTACATCCATAGCATCTGTTATGTGTCCCAGCTGGGAAGGAACTCAGGAAATTTCTTCCAACAGTAGGGTAATTCCAAAAAGGGGGAACTAGGTGTTCTGGAAAGATTGTGAACTGTGTGATCCTCTTCAAATGGGATGACATGGGAGGTTATCTGCACTTTGGGCTGAGGGAATTAAATCCTGTTGAAATCTATTTTTGTGCCTACTTTAACTAGCAACCTTGTCTTGCAATGTAGGAAGTTAGCACCCACCCCTTTCCTGGAAGAATGAAATATTTTAGGAAATATTAAAAAGGCAGAATATTATGTTTCCCTGGTTGAGAAATGGAGAAACATGTTTTAAAGACAAAGCAACTCCCACCTTCCTGCCTCCACACCCTTTGTTAATGGGCCAGAGGCAGAAACCCAATCCTTTGTCAAAGGACATCTGCAACACAATGGGACCCATCTAGGACAGAAACTCACCACATGGCACCTGGGAAGATTACATCAGCCAGCAAGGCTAGCTAAGACCCCCACCCCCTGGGAGTCTGACAACCAATCAGGATACTCTTTCGGGGCCCCAGGAAGTTCAAAGCCAGAGAGAGCATAAAACCTGGGGACTCACTGCATCTCGCCCCTTTTCTGTTCAGGAACTCAAGCCTTGTGATCCTGTCCACCATTAAACCATCTTTCCAAGCAGTCTCCATGTTTCCAGTGTCTTTTTCCCCACTTGGAGCTGAACCCAGAAGGATATTTCTTCTAACAGCAAGAACGTATTTTACAATAAACTGCTTGCTGCTTCACTTAATGACTCTGTCCCATTTCTGACTGGTGAGTGCATTTCCCACAGATGGAATTGATGAGATCCCCAAAAAGGCAGAAGTTCATAGAACAAAATCCAGGATATAAATTAAGGTAGGATCAGGGTGGAAGGAAGGATACTGTAATGGTATAAACATGATTTAAATTCTATCCGTTATTTGCTTTTTCTAACCTTAGATTATTTGGCTTATCAGTCTTTTTGCACTTGACATAATGTTGTTTGGAAAGGAAGGAAAAGAAACTTGAAAACAAAGAAACAGAAACTAAAACACATTGCAGAAGATGGCTTACAATAGATAAGTGAAAAGGATTCAGTGGTTAACCAACACTTTAAACTTTTCCTGCGCAGAATCATTTAAGGCAACATGCTAGAAACCAGGAGACTGCGAATTCGAGTCCTGCCTTAGGGACAAAGCTAGCTGGGAGTCCTTGGGCCAGTCAGACCTCTGAGCCCCAAAAAGGAAGCAAGGGCAAACTGCTTCTGAAAACGTTGTCAAGAAAACTGCAGGAACTGGTTTCTGACAGTGGCCAGGAGCCAACGTTGACACAAAGGAAATTAAAACAAAAACCACAGAATCATATTGTTCATTCTTTCCATTGAATTGATAGAAAACCAGGGGAAATGCAAAGAGTGACATTTGCATCAATTTATGTCATTTGTGGAATTACAGTACAAAAATAAAAGATTTGTCAATATCGTCCTGTCCCATTTTATACATACAGATAAAAATCCTAGCCCTTAGATTAATAAAATAACCATTATACCATAAATACAGCCTAACGAATTAACAAATAATACTTTTCTGTGGAGCAGAATAATATTTGAAACACGCAAAATGTGAGATAGGAAACACAAGGATTAGGGTTAGGGGTTTTATTCATTTCTAGGTAAATTCTCCGTACATAATAGCATAGTCAATATAATTGGGCAAACTGTAATATTTTCCAGACTGCCTTTCTCCCAAATGAATTGCAATATCACTTAATGATCAGGTGGGCTTTTGGGCCATCATATTTTAAAGTATGAATCAATTATTCTCACACATGGCTCTGGCCCAGTGGTGTGTTTCAAATTTTTTTACTACTGGTTGGGTGGGCGTGGCTTGGTGGGCATGGCAGGGAAAGGATATTGTAAAATCTCCATTCCCTCTCCAATCCAGGGGAAGGTTACTGCAAAATCCCCATTTCCTCCTGATCAGCTGGGACTTGGGAGGCAGAGAATAGATGGGGGCGGGGCCAGTCAGAATTTTTACTACCGGTTCTCCAAACTACTCAAAATTTCCACTACCGGTTCTCCAGAACTGGTCAGAACCTGCTGAAACCCACCTCTGCTCTGGCCTGAGTATTTCTGAAATATGCAGAGTTCTAAAACATCCAAGTTGCTAAGAAGAGAAAGCACTCAGATTGTTATATTTGAGGCTGCTGAAATCATTTTATTGGATAATTTACTTTTGTCCCTTGGTTTTACCATAAGCTGTTTTATGGAACAGGCTGCAATGCATAGGTGAATACAGTATTTCTATGATGTTGGTTAATCCCAAATACTAAGCAGATCCGAGAGGAAATAGCCAATAAAACTTTCAGGGGTATGTTTTATACTTTTGCCCACATAACATTTACTGTTGTGAGGCACTAAGATAGTTTTTAAAAAAGGAACAGAAACAATGTAAATGAGCCTGCCTCCATTTCTTCAGTACAGGTGGTCCTCGAGTTACAACAGTTCATTTAGTGACTGTTCGGAGTTACAACGGTACTGAAAAAAGTGACTTATGATCATGAGCCGCGGTGGTACAGTGGTTAGAGTGCAGAACTGCAGGCCACTTCTGCTGACTGCCAGCGGCCTGTAATTCGGCAGTTCAATTCTCACCAGGCTGAAGGTTGACTCAGCCTTCCATCCTTCCGAGGTTGGTAAAAATGAGGGCCCAGATTGTTGGGAACAATAGGCTGACTCTGTCAACCACTTAGAGAGGGCTGTAAAGCACTGTGAAATGGTATATAAGTCTAAATGCTATTGCTATTTTTCACACTTAGGACTGTTACAACATCCCATGGTCACGTGATTTATATTTGGATGCTTGACCACTGGTTCATATTAATGACTGTTGTAATGCGCTGGTCATGTGATCACCTTTTGTGACCATCTGACAAGCAAAGTCAATGGGGAAGCCTAATTCATTTAACAACGGTGTTACTAACTTAACAAACGGCAGTGATTCACTTAACACACATGGCAAGAAAAGTCGTAAAATGGAGCCAAACTCACTTCACACATGTCTCACTTCACCACCTACATTTTGGGCAAAATTGTGGTCCTAAATCGAGGACCACCTGTAGTTAGGATTTTATTAAGCAGATAAAGGCCCTGAGCAAAGTCGGATTATGTTATCGTTAGACTTTTAGACAATCAAGGTTACAGAGTCAAATTAGTAGAGAGGAAAAAATGGCAGATCAGATGAGTTGTTTCTTGACATAATTGACATTTCTGCCTTAACCCACAGGTGTGTTATTTTGACCCAGCTCCAGTGGTGTGTTCCAACTGGTGTTACCACCGGTTCTCTTTGCGCACACTTTACGCGTTAGGTTTCTGGCCAGCTGAGGTGCGGCAATCCACTCTGCCACGCCTATCAGCTGGACTAAAAAACAAGAAATGTAGGAATAAAGTGGGGGTGGGCGGGAGGGCCAAGCTCCCAGTCAAAGAGAACCGGTTCGGCTCCAGTGGTGGGTTCCTCCCGGTTCGGCTGAGCCGGTAGCGGTCATGATATGACATCACCAAACCGGTTCTTTTTGTTCGGTAGCTGGGTCCTCCCGCCCCCACCCCCCATGTTACTCTTACCTTTTATTTGGCCCCGCCCCCAATCTATTCGTTGCCTCCCGAGTCCCAGCTGATCGGCTAGAAGGAAAAAAACTGTTTAAACTCTTGCTGCAGGGCTTCAAAGGGCCGCCCTAGAGCTGATCAGTGTTAAAAGGCAGTGTGGTGGTAGACCAATGCGCTCGAAAAACAAATGAGTAGACCGGTGCCTCCAAAAACAAATGAGTAGACTGGTGCCTCCAAAAACAAATGAGTAGACCGGTGCCTCGAAAAACAAATGAGTAGACCGGTGCCTCCAAAAACAAATGAGTAGACCAGTGCCTCGAAAAACAAATGAGTAGACCGGTGCCTCCAAAAACAAATGAGTAGACTGGTGCCTCCAAAAACAAATGAGTAGACCGGTGCCTCCAAAACAAATGAGTAGACTGGAACACTCCAAGAGCAAATGGGTAGACCGGTACAGCTCTTCAAGCAGTTAAAAGCCTGGTAGACCAGTACCTCTGCTAAATCTTAAAATTGTCACATGACCATCAAACCACACCCACAAAATAAGCCACGCCCACAGAACCAGTAGTAAAAAAATTTAGAACCCACCCCTTCCCGGCTCCCAAATACGACAAGCACGTTGTTTGTAATAAATGTTCCTTTTATTAAGAGCTCCAGTAGTCCTAGCCAAGTAGTCGCCTGCTTCTGGAGAACAAACACTTTCAGGTAAGCTGGTTATGGCTAATTTTACCTTATATTCTCCAGTGATTACATCTTGCAAACCAAAATCACCAGTAGCCTTAAAACAGGAAAGGCAGAAGGGTAGATCCATGAATAAATTTTCAAAGGTCTAGTAGGGTTTTTCCCCCCCTATTTGTTTAATAGCAACAGCAACCAAATTTTTTTCTTTTCCATTTTAAAAGAAATAGGAAGAAAAATCAAAGGACAGGACAGGACAAACAAAAGCAAGTTTTTCTGTGACTGGATTTTGAGCTCTGAATCACTACTAAAATTTAATTTCTGGGTTAAAGAATAAAGCAAGGGTGCCTCTAAATAATGGTTCTTCCTACAAGCTACTTTAACGCATCTTACTTCTCAGAATTCTAATGAAAAAAAGGGACAAATGTAAAGGAGTTTAGGATGAAGTCTTCTAGAATATCCCCATCGCTTTCCTTCTATTGATATCTCTCTGGATTTGGCAGAGGGAACAAACGGAGCAACACTCCACAACGCAGGTATCTTCACAGATGGATCCCTGTTGAAAAGAAAAGAAACCAAATGCATCAATAACCTTTTCAATCAAATCACGATGTAGACATATGGAATCATGAAAAACTAACTCTGTGTTGGGTGGAAGCAGTCGACTTACGACAGTTCATTTAGTGACCATTCAAAGTTACAAAGCAGCAGGGTAGGGGGGCATGGTCCAACAATCCTTAATCCATGGGATTTACAGTTACAACGGCACTGAAAAATGTGACTTATGATCATTTTTCACAATTACGACCTTTGCAGTATCCTCAGGATTCATGTGGTCAAAATTCAGACGCTTGGCAACCGGATCATATTTATGACGGTTACAATGTCCCAAGATCATGTGATGAGCTCTTGTGACCTTCTGACAAGCAAAGTCAATGGGGAAGCCAGATTCACTTAAAACCTGTGTTACCCGGAGGCTCCAACTGGTACAGAATGCGGCCACGCGGGGGATTATGGGAGCGACGGGGCGCTCCCATGTGACACCCCTCCTGCGCGAGCTGCACTGGCTCCTGGTGGTCTTCCGGGTGCGCTTCAAGGTGTTGGTTACTACCTTTAAAGCGCTCCATGGCTTAGGGCCTGGGTACTTACGGGACCGCCTTCTGCCACCGATAGTCTCCCACCAGGCAGTATGCTCCCACAGAGAGGGACTCCTCAGGGTGCCATCGGCCAGACAATGTCGGCTGGCGTCCCCCAGGGGAAGAGCCTTCTCTGTGGCTGCACCTGTCCTCTGGAACGACCTGCCCCCGGAGATACGTAGGATCCCAGATCTCTGTGCTTTTCGCCGTGCCCTTAAAACTTTTTTATTTCATCAAGCCGGGCTGGCTTAACCCCCGTTTAGATATTTTTAATTGTTAATTGATTTTAGTTGGGGTGTTTTAAATTTATTGGGCCAAAATTTGTTTAATTCTTTTTTTAAAAAATTAAATTTTGTATGTGATGTTTTTATTCTTGGCTGTTCACCACCCTGAGTCCAGTGGGAGAAGGGCGGTATAAAAATCTAATAAAATAAATAAATAAATAATACTAACTTAACAACTGCAGTGATTCACTTAACAACGGTGGCAAGAAAGGTTGTGAAACTGGGCAAAACTCACTTAACAAATCTCACTTAACAACAGAAATCCATTACATTATGTAAACCTATTTTTTAAAAAATCCATTTCACCCATCGCCAGTGGCAGCAACAACACAATCAAATTCACCACATGATGAGCTCCATTTCTTTTTGTGGTCCTCAGGCCCATTGACAAAACCGTGTTTTTAGCGCCTTTCAGAAAAGCAGCAAGGGCACTGAGGGGCCACCACCAAGAAGGTCTTTTTTCATGGTGTCACAGATGACAATCCTTAATCCATGGGACTTTTAACAAATTCTGCCATCCCATCCTTATGGGCCAGGTAGATCGGATAGTTATGTTTGGCGTGGGATATTTTCATTCCTATAGTTCTGAAAGATTATGGTCTGCTGCAGATAACAAATGAAAGGATTATCTGTTCATTTCCCAGATCAGGGTTTTTTTCTCCCCAAAATTTCTGGATTGTGCATGCGCTGCCTTTCTGAGCGGGCCTAGGACAGCTCGCCACATCCAACTCTCCACGGCCAATTAACTGTGGCCAACTCACTGTAGGAGAACTCACCATAGGACAACTTGCGACAAGAATATTGCACTAATATTGAATAAATGATGGAATTGAATCACTGGAGAAATAATGCCAAAGGAGGGACAAAATGAAATGTGAATGACAAAAATTAAAATAATTTTTAAAACATATTTTTAATAATTAGATTGAATTGTTGAATTTTCCCTTGGCGAGTTCTCCAATGGTGAGATGGCCATGACAAGTTATCTCGCAGCAAGTTGGTTGCCCCAGCTTGTATTTCTATCCAATTTCACAGGTATTTCTTAAGATTCTAGTTTGGGTTTTTTTGGTTTTGATTAGAATTTATAAGCCTGACGTTTGTCTAGTCTTAGGCAAATTAATCTACTTACAGGGATATTGTATTTTGTCCTGTAGACAGCTCGCATGGCAACAGTTGGGCCACAGCAGCAGCATTCGTTCATAGCTGCAGCAACTTGGCATGCCAAACAAGGGAAGCAGAACAATCCACAGAGACCTATAGAGATGAGGAAAAAGCAAAATGGATATTGCAAAATCCCCATTCCCTCCCCACTCATGGGGGAAGGATATTGCAAAATCCCACCCCACCCTGGGGCCAGCCAGAGGTGGCATTTGCCGGTTCTCCGAACTACACAAAATTTCTGCTACCGGTTCTTCGAACCACTTAAAATTTCCGCTACCGGTTCTCCAGAACCTGTCAGAACCTGCTGGATTTCACCCCTGGGAAAAAGCTCCTGTAGAAATATTTTGGCACAGTGTTGAATGACATAAGATTTATGGCCCAGAAACTGCAAATTATGTTATTTGTGCAACATCAAAACTGTGAGTGGAAATGCTAGTTAAATGCTTAGCAGCGGGGAAGGCTGAAAAAAACTAATGTACAAACCATATTAAATAAAAGCACACTCCATTGCATTTTTCTGTATACTGATATTCTCAACTATTATGAAAGAGAATTAAGGAAATTACTGTCGAAGAGAGACTGGCTGAGCCAAGAAGAGGAATCAATTAGGGAACTAATCTGGAATCCCTACGTGGGCATAAGAGAGTGAAGTCTGATCTTCCTTGAATGCTGTTTAACCTTATCTAGTCTAACCCAGGTGCAAACGCTTCCTGTTATAGCAACAGTAATAAAACAGCTAATTGAATTCTTCGCACATAGATCTGATTGAGTGTGTCTGACAATTACTAATAGAAGAGAATATTTGTAACTACACATTTGAACTGTTGTGTCCCTGGTGCTCTCTGAACTTGGTTGCTTTCTTGCAGATATTTCATTCCCCAAGTAAGTAACATCTTTAGTAGTAGCAGTGATGCTGCCCTAGCCAGTAGTGGGGTCCACTTACCTTCGCTACCGGTTCGGAATCGCTTCGCTCACTTGCAGCGCTTCTGCGCATGCACAGAGCATCCATGATGATGTCTGGGCAGGTGTGCAGAGCCTCTCACCATTGCCACTACCAGTTTGCCCGAACCGGGGCAAACCGGTAGAAACTCACCACTGGTGCTAGCACTGATGATATTCCCTACCTGGGAATATGTGCAAGAAAACAACCAAACTCCAAAAACAGCAAGGACCCCCTCATTATGAACATTAAAATTCAAAACATCAGGAGGACATCATATTGCTTTCTTTAATTCTTCAGTTGTGTAGCATCGGGCACAAGAAACCAGGTGCCAGAATAGAGTTTACTTCATGCTTTATACCAGAATCAGATCTACTAATGGTCAAGGCAGATTGGTGCTAAATAAGAGTCAACAGAATTCATGGGGGAGGGAGCTGGATTTAGATCTCCTGTGGGAGCATAGCAGTGGTAGGTTGCTATCGGTTCGCACCGGTTCGGGAGAACCGGTAGCAGCGGCAGTGGGAGGCTGCCTGCCCGAATGTCATCAAATATGATCTGCACATGTGCGAGCAAACCGGTAGCAAAGGTAAGTGAAACCCACCCCTGGAGCATAGCAACTCCAAACTGATGGTGCGTTTGACCCCACCCTCAGGCTCAGCCTGGTCATCTCCTTCATGTAGAACGTTAAAGTTCCATACGCAATTTTTAATGGCATAGAAGCCGTGTCTCCTTTTATATCTTGCCATCCTAATTCCAACCCAGGGGGCTGTTCAATAATTAAACAACCATTGCTCAAATTATAAAGAATAATTTATTTCTTGCAACCTATCCAGTCTGGAAGGATATTCAGTCCAATCTTCCCCAGAAGGCTTTGAGAACTCCACTTTCAGTTATTGCTCTGGTCACTTACAGACTCCACAATCGCTAAAGCAGTCACATAAGTCTGTTTGCCAATGGTTTCTGTTGGGCTGGACCATCACCACCACCTGTGGCTGAGTGACAACCGTTGGCTGAACATTCATGGTGGGCAATTTTCTAAAGAGAAAGAAAGAAGAGAGTCAAAAAGGGAAGAGATGAATGAACAGGCTTGGTAGAAGGTGATCTCAGTCCCAACTCCACAGTGTTCTGTCCCCCCTCCTCACACAGGCAAATGTAATGCCAAGCACGCCTGCCAATATTTTATTAGGTAAACAGATTAGACTTCTTGGCAGACCAAGGTTATGACAGCAAACTGCCGAATGCCTGCCATGACAGGTTTCACTCCCATAAAGCAGAAGAGGACTTATCTTCAGTCTGTTCCAGGAGCAACAAATTATCCATGAGACAAGAGTTTAGTCAATGTTCAGTCCAAAATATATCCAAGCTGAATTTCAGAGATCACGATGTGATTTGCAGGCTTTAACTTTGTCCGTCACAAAGCCTGAAGAGCAATCCCACCCACTTTTATTCCTGGTGGGGCGTGGCTCCGTGACTCAGCTCAATCTCTGGCCCTCCCTCGCCTCTCCCGTTGCTGCGCACGCTTCTCCCTCTGACGCTGCCTGGGATCAAGCCAGGATTCATCCTCCTCACTCCCTATCAGTTGGTGCTCCGATATGCCTTCCTCCTGGCACATCCCAGGTTGTTTCTCCTGGCCTTCGGATGGAACATGAGGCATTGCCAAAAAGGAGGGTCCTGGAGAGGGAGGCCTTGTTAGTTCCTCCCCATCACCTTCTGAGTCCTCTTCCTCTGTTAGGACAGGCTCAGGAGTCGGGGTCACAACAACAGGGTGGGATCTGGTTGCTACCATTCGACTCTGGATGAAGCCTTTCTGATACACAAATTGGTACTGTGAGAATCTTAAACTCTAAACCTGGAACAGAGCCATACTGAACATCCAATTGTCCTCTATTGTTTTGGAAGAGTGGTTCCCTCTGCACTCAGCCAATTGCTCCTTCCTCCCTTGGTTCTAGTTTCTATACTTTGGGATCTTGAAACTGGGTGGCTGCTGGGAAACCATTGGCTTATCTCACTCTCTGAAAGCAAATTAAGTTGAGCAATGCTCTTTCCTATTGCTGATCGTCCAAGACAGTCTAGTATGTCTTGGTATGATAGAGTTGGTTTTGATCTTGGTCTTCTAGTATGATAGAGTTACTATCCTTTTTTTGTCTATGGAGATTCACAATCATCCAGGTCATGGTTGTCACAAAGGTGCTTTTCTAAAAGACAACTGGACTTTGTTGATCTTTTTTTTCCTGGAAAACATTTCCCTTCTCATCTAAGAAGCTTCATCAGTTCTGAACTGAAGAAGCTTTTGGATGAGAAGTGAAACGTTTTCAAGGAAAATACTCAAGAAAGTCCGGTTGCCTTTTGGAAAAGCATCTTTGATTCTCCTTTTTTTGTTTGTTTGTTTGCCTATGCTTTCAAGACAAATTCATGCAGTTTTCTCTGCAAGATTTTTGGGAAGTTTTACACTTGCCTTCTTCCTAGGACTGAGAGAGAGGGACTGGCCCAGAGTCACCCACTGACTTCACACTTAAGGCAGGATTAGGATAGGATAGAATAGGATAGGATAGAGTATCCGCAGAGTGTCTTATCAATCAATCAGAATAGAGCTGGAAGGGACATTGGAGATCTTCTAGTCCAGCCCCCGGCTCAAGCAGGAGAACCTATACTATTTCAGATAAGTGGCTGTCCAGTATCTTCTTAAAAATGTCCAGTGATGGAACAGCTACAATTTCTGAAGGCAAGCTATTCCACTGGTTAATTGTCCTCACTGTTAGGAAGTTTCTCCTTAATTCCAGGTTGAAACTCACAACCTCCTGATTTCTAACGAAACTGGTTCCCATATCTCACTCATCCTTAAAAGAATCTGAATTGGTGAACGTCACCTTGTCCTATGGAAATCAACTTTACTGTTTAACCAGATGTTGGATAAATAAATGCATTCCCCCCTCCTTTTCTTTTTTCTTTTCCTCTACACTTCCCATTGTTCAGCTTCATAGATGACCCTGGAACCTGTTCCTAACCCCTCAAATTCTTATATAAGAGAGAAAATGAGTTCATATCTCATGTACTAAGAACAAGAATAATTATTTGTGTCTTGGCATTTAAACGTGGCGAGAAGCTGCTGCTTTCTGAGTGAAGGTATTTTAAGGCAGCCATTTGGTCTCTTCTTAGTTATGGGATCACCTGAGGGCAGGGCAAGAAGTAACAGCTGGAAACTTATCAAGGAGAGGACCAACCTAGAAATGAGGAGAAATTTCCTGACTGTCAGAACAGTTAATCAGTGGAATGGCTTCCCTCCAGAGCTTGTGAGTGCTCCATCACTGGAGGTTTTTAAGAAGAGATTGGACAACCATTTGTCTGAAATGGTAGAGGATTTCCTGCCTGAGGAGGAGATTGGACTACAAGACCTACAAGGTCCCTTCCAAGTTCCAACTCTGTATTATTACTTACAGAATCAACGGATGACCTGTCCTGTTCTTGAAATCTTTGTGTACAGGAGAAGCCAAACCAAGTTTACCTTCAATGACCACCTAATTCGGGTATTCCTGGGTTCCAGAGTTCATAACTGGGTATCTCTGGCTCATGAAACTTCTCTACAGGCTATGAATTCCTCAACCTTGCACATTCACTCATTCAGCTATATAATTCAAATTAATTATAATATCCCATTATTATTATTCTAATAATAATAATACACATGTTTTTGTTAAATTATAATCTTTCATTATTATCTTTTTCAATATTTCAATATATTGTTTTTATATCAGTCAATATACCACACATCATTCCTTTTATTACAAATAAAATGTTGGTAATCCTATTTGTTATATTTAAGAAACTTACATAGTTCTACTAATAATACACATAATTATGTTAAATTATGAACTTCGATTGTTTAATTATTCAGTATTTCAATATATATTATTTTATAACCATCACCATATTGTTCAAACATATTCAGAATTACCATCATTAAGATCCTAGGTTCCCTTCTTGTTGTTAATTCACTTTGTAATGTAAAAATATATGTTACATTAATTCCCCTTTCTCTAGCTTCCAGCCCTATTTTAACTTATCTCACCATTGTTTTTAAGAAATGTTCCCTTTTTTTATCCATCATCTCTCACCCGCTTTAAAGCTTTAATTATTCGTTTCTTAGCTTGTCTCTCACATTCCTCTCTTGGATCTTTATCTCTATATGCTTCCACTTCTTGGCCAATCCTCTTAAACATTTCTCCCTTCTCTACCCTGTTCCATTGTCTAATATTCAAGTTGCCTACTCTTACCCCTATTTCACTCCCAAAAAGGTCTTCCTGTAGTTCCAATTCTTGTTTAGCTTCCTTTAAAATATTCTCCCTTTGTTTTATTTCATTAATCATTATTGTTTTTATTTTTATCTCCTTGTCATTACTTTTTATTTGTTGTTTTGTCTGTTCTATTTCCCCAGCTGCTCTTTCAGTTAGCTCCTCCTTTTCCTGGGCCTCCTGGTTTCTCCTTGTCCTTTGTGTCATAATTTCCAGCTTTTCATCTATGATCTGCATTTTATTCATAATCCCCTCGCATCTTCTTGTCAAGGTATCTTTCATACTCTGGGTTATTGACACAATTTCTTCCCAAATTCCACTCATTTTTGTTTTTCTTTCTTTTCTTTCTTTTTGTCCAATAGTCCAATAATCTTATATTCAAACCTAAAGCCACTTCTCAAAAAGTTCAATCTCCAATGTCTAAGAGTCTTTATCCAAAATTAATCAGTCTGTTATAATTCAAAAGTGGAACCTTCATAAATCTCTCTGCCAGTTCGGTCTTATATTGAAACTTTAAGGGGTCCTTTTAGTAATAAAGTTTTTCTTATTCTCACATTTAGATCTCCAAAAACCAAGTCTTTCCAGAATTTTGGGAATATGTTGTACCTCCCTTTGACAGCAGGTGGCACTCTTAAATCAGATTTCAATCTTAACCATTCTTATCCAGTTTTGCTATAGTACTCCAAAATATAAATGTGATATTAGCTTTTTATGTAAATAGTTCCAGCATTTTAAAATGCCTAGCCCAAGCCACTGCCTGTCCAATTAGAATATCCAATTTTCTATATTTTTAACAAATTTTCTATTTTCTTCTTTGATTCCTTTCCCATTTTAAAGTTTTAAAGTTTTGCTCAAGATGTTAGGTCACATCCACTTTATAGATAACTATGAGACTCTCTTTTCCTGAATATTCTTTTGAGGTTACACTTTCAATAAAAAGGATTCTTCTCACCCAGTTACAGACACTGTTCACCAAATCCGCTCCAGCACTCTTCTTAGATGTTAAGCTGCCTCTGGCTCTGTGGCAGCCATCTGAGGCGGCCTCTTCTCCTCGCCGTGGCATAGAGGGAAGAAAATGCCCTGGAGTTCTGCAGGAGAGTTGTATTCTCACCTACGACTTCACAGGACACCCTCCTTAGCTCCAAGGCGATTTTGGCTCCTTTCGGAGCCCACAAACAGGGAGAAGCGAGCACAGGGACGGAGAACTCCATTCAGAACTGGTATTCAGCCAGTTCCGACCAATTCAGGTGAACTGGTACCGGCAATTTGAATTGGTTTGCCAAACCAGTAAATACCACCTCTGGTTGGCCCTGCCCATGCCTGCCCAGTCACCTGCTCGCTGCTCGCCTCACCCGCCCGCTTGCTGGTCACCCTGCCCACCCCCGTCCTATATATGTTGCCTTCACCATGCAGCCCAGCTAATCACCTTGTCAATCACCTCCGTGCCTCGCCCACTCTGCTCAGCTCACCAAAGGTAAACATGCTGCTCGCTCGCCCTTCACCTTGGGTTGGCGGCTGGGACCCAGGCACGTGCCATTCCCTAAGGCCCCAGAGCCTCCAGCTGCTCACCGCCTGCCTTGACCGGATCAGGGAACGTGCCATTGCCTGGCTCCGGCCTTGCTCCTGACCACCGCTCGCTCGTCGCCTGCCTTGGCTGGGTCAGGGAATGCGCCTTTCCCTGGTTCCGACGGCCTTGTCTTGGAGCTGCCGCCCACTCGCCGCTCGCTCGCCCTCCGCCTTGTTCAC